ACTTGTTGAAGCTATTACACTAATATTTCGGACCTAGCGAGGCATTAGTATGGCAAATGATATAAGAAATGGTACTTCGTACATTTTTGGAAAATGTACCTATCTTTCTCAACATTTAGATTTAGGTTAGGTTTTTGGACCAAAATGCTGAGAATTTGAAGTGAAATATTTTGTTTTGAATCGACGAGAAAAAAGACACGCGATTAACAGGATATTTTTACTAAACGTTTGAAACACTGGCTGACAGATTAACGCTACATTAATGCCATCATTAACGCTATATATTAGAACAAAAGCCGGACAAGTCCAGGACATAGCTGATTCTTCTTTCCAAAGGTCACATTGAGTAAGTCCAAAAATTGTTATGAATGCATTGGACTTGTCCGATTCTTGCGTCGATCGATCAGTATATAAAAATATATAAAACTTCAAGGAGTCAAATTTTTGTAAAAGGTGGATTTTTGCACCTTCAATTGCTCTTTTATATCTTCTATCGCAGTTGCAGTAATCTACATATTTACTGAAAAAATTTGCCATTCTTCGCCTTCATCTTGTGCAATAATTTCTAAATACAAATACTTTAAAAATATGTTTCAACGCTTTTATGATTACTTTTACTAAATATGTACATGCATATCTCGTCATTTCTACTTCTATATAGAGTGTGTCCGGTTTATCTCGGGCCGCTTAAATGTCTCGAAAAACATGAATGATACAAAAAAATGTTTCAGACAAAAATTGCACGATATCCACGGAGATATACTATGTATCTTGTGTGTTTGACCTTATGATGATCTTGAAACCTGCTACGAAGGTAACGTTATAATTTTTAAATAGAGACCTCCATTTTGTATTATATATTTTTGTAGCTGACAGTCAAATGTTTTCAAGAAAATACAAACTTGTGTATTCCTTAGGGAATACTTAGGTACTACCTAAAAGTGTTTGTTCGTACTGACTGCTTCGGAAACGTTAGAAAATTGCACGCTTGTCCATCTACAATGCCATATGAATATGTAGTAGAGTTGGGCATTATTCGAATTGTTTCGAATAAATATTTATCCAAGATAATTAATGGAATAAATTCGTATCAGTGGAATAATTATTTGTTACTCGTAACAATTATTTTCTATATTTATTCGAATAATGATTGCACAATTGTTCGCATAATACGAATAATTGTTCTGTTTAATTGTGTATAAGTATATACAGATACCGATACAATTCTCACTATTAATTTATCAAATAATAATTTACAAGGAACGATACACTTTCTAATTTGTCATTTGAAAAAAGTTAGTTACAAAAACCTATAAAATATTACAACAATGTAGCCTGAAAATATTTCTCACGTTCAGTACCATATCTACCCTTGATGTACCATATAAATATTATATTAAAATAAAGTATAATATAATAATAAGAATATATAATTAATATAGCGAAAATAATATAATTATAATAATATATATAAAATAATATAATATAAAATATTAATATTAATATGTATATAATATATAATTCTGTCTGAATAAATTATTCGATCAAATTTTTATTTAGGCAAATTCCTGCACGATTAATTTTTTATTCGGATAAGTACTTGTTCGATTGGATATTTATTCATCAGTGGTGAATAACATTTGATTCTTTATTTTTATTCGTTTACTGTTATTCGAGTAAAATTTTGATCAACATTGGCACTTAGTAATATCACGAATAACGTCTTTATAGGTCCCCGTAGTGTACATCGAGCAACGCTAATGCCGACAACAGGCCGAATTTTAAAGTTATTTTATTAAGAAGTTTAAAGTATAGTCAAATCATAAAGTTACAAGTATGAATTAGTTATAAGGATGGTGACAAGAGTAAGCTTGGAAAACGTCAGACTGTTAGCTACAAGAATATGCAATAAAAAATGCAGTTATCTATTTAAAAATCTTCTGTTTTTCATAAAAGATTTCAAGGTTACTGCAAGGTCAAATACGCAAGAGCATAATAGGTCCATCAGAATGTCGTGCATTTTTTCGCATCATTCATTTTTTTTTGTTTTTAATATTTGAGTGGTTCAAGATAAACCGGATGATTCCTTCAGATTTACTTTGAACAACTGACCAACATAATCAAGATAGTGATTGACAGTGTCAATGAAATTTTCAAACATGTAAGTACATAGGTAATACTACTCATAAAAGTCAATGTCTACAAGCGTTCGAATACCGGCGCGAGCCGGTGTATTTATTTATTTACGCTCGAGTCAGCCACGGTTCGATCGCCATCTACGATGTAATCATCTTCGCGTAAATATATCATGCAGAAGGCAAGATCGTTATCGGGCGAAGCGCAAATCCGTCAGGAGAGTTGAGTTATCTGTGCGTTTCGACACGTTATATCGATGACGTTGCCCTTAAGAGTTCCGTAAAGCAAAGAGCTGTACTACAAAACGAAGAGATATCGGCGACTGTTCTTTAGCAAAGTAGCTTAGCCAGCTTATCAGCTAGCGTTTTATAGGCGTGATAAAAGTGAAAAAAGGAGAAGGACAGAGCGCACACAGGTTGTGCGTGCATTGTGCTCGAACGAGGTGCGCTGTTGGTTTTGTTAAAACGGCCAAACCGCGAGTATGTTACGTCAATTGCATGAAAATAACGCTGGATGGATGAGTCATTACGTCGACACCATTTAAGGAAACAAGAAAACCGTCCACTCGTTCACTTTATCCCAGAGACTAGTCATCTTTATCATTTCTTGGCCTTGCCAAGCGTGCTACTGCTCTCGGTTATTTGTTGGACAAACAAGAGCTTGTCCACCGACGCACAATCATTTCGTAAATACTGTAATTTTCCTCAACTTTGTTAACACTTTTGTATCTATGCACCAAATATCTCGTCTGTCTTTTTGTACATACATGTACAGTATTATGCAGAAATATCAGGTCACCTAGCAAATAAATACATCGTATCTTAGAGCTACAAAACCACCTAAAAATTTCCAATTCTTATATTCAACAAGTTCCACGTTATACACATAATTGATTCATTAAAAATTTCGGTGGCACGTGTTAAATATATACGATTAAAATACGTTTTAAACTATTTGTTTTCAAACACAAATATCTTAATAGCTTTTTTTTATAAAAGTAAAACTAACTTGTAAAGACATTTAAAAAAATATCGATAAGCGTGAGAACTCGAGAAATTTTGAACCAATTATACATACCATATCACAATGTTCGTTCTTCTGAAGAATTAGTTTCGTTTTGAAATCATTTTTTCTATCGGTAAAAATAATTGAGATATTGATAAATTCAAATTTTTCTTCAAAAATCGCAATTGATAACACACATACATAGGTACATGTTTATTTTATCTGTTTTAATGCTACATTCCAACTTTTAAAAATTAGCAAAATTGCTTTAGTAGATTCAGTCGTTTAAATGGTCTGAGATTCTAACGGAGATTCAATTACGCTAAATGATCTTACGATAAATTACTAGTTAGACGTTGGATCTCGAAAAAAATTTAATAAAAGACAAATTTGATTCCTGCTTAGTATGCGTTAAGCCTGAAGGTTAGTTGATTCGCGTGATGTCTATGCATTTTTGTTACCATTCATTCAGATTTGCCCATCGTACGGGCAACAAACTATGCTTTCTCTCTGATTCTCGTTAACCCCTTGATATAGGAACTATGCGCATGAGACAAGAATACGATGAATCATGAGCGTCGCATGCGGCATTCTTATTTGAATTACTTTGCACGTATTATTTCATGGGATGAGTGATGTTAATGCCTTATTTTATCAACAGACATCATTAGCTATATTCTTAAAATAAAACTGTACTTATGTGAGGATCGCTTTCAGTACATTGTATTCTTAATTATCTTCATTCTATTTCTCTTTTGTAAATTATAGATTTAAGCTGTGTATTAAAAAACAGAAACGAACGAGAAATATTGTGATTTTGGTCGTATAGCACAATGTATTTTTTAATTTTTGAAGAAAAAGCAAAAGAGTATTGCAATTTTTCAGAGATATTGTGTTAAATTCATACATATGTTTTAATAAACAAGTTGTAAATAATTTTTCTATATATATGCCACAATATATAATCGTAGAATATATGTATTTCCACAATAATATTAAACTATTTTACAGACAATAGTTCATAATAGTACTTGTAATTATTTCTAGAGAATGATTAATTGCATCATATTTTGAAAAATTATATAACGGATCTAAAAATAAATTATGTGACCTGTTTGTATTATATCAGGCTTCTTTTTAGCAGTTTAATTAAAATGCTTCATTAACACATGATGTGGGACGTTGATAAAGAAAGAAATAATTTATTCTTATATTAATAAAAATTGAGAAACTGATTAATCAAATAATATAAGAATTTATATAAAGTTAGATGAACAAAAGAAATAACAATAAATGTACAATTTTAAATTAAATTTTAAAACCGTGCATTTGACCAGACCTGGTAAGGTTAGTGTTAAGGTCAACTATTCATGAGAGGATTTTATCTAATTTGAGAAATTTACATGGAATAATATTTATTTCTTTTGAAATAAGTTAAAACAATTAGCAAATAAGTCTAAATAAATAAATGTATATGTCAATGTTTTTCAAAAGATTAATATTTAAGCAAAAATTATTTAAGTTACACGCACAAGATTATCTGTACCTTATACATACATATATAAAATGTTCTATATCTTTTTTTAAGCTTTTATATTCACATATGAAAAATAAAGTAGAGAATATAACAAATTATTATCATCAGAAAAATGCATATTTAAGTATATTTGTTTTGAAAACGAAATTTCAGTTTCTTTCGCCCGCAAAAGACCAAGTTTCATTTTCATAAGAATTCGATGAAAATATTTAAATAGTTCTGAAATAGTTCTAAAATATGCCTTTAAATAACATTTAGCGTGGTTACGATATTACGTTGTGCGATTATGTAACGGAGGTGTTTTAAATAAATTACCACAGTATATACATAATAGATAGAAATGTATTTATAAGTAGAACATTTTTTGTAATAGATAACAAATAAAAGATTAAAGTCAATAATATATGAACACAGATAACATGTTCCATTGTAACACTTGATATTTTCACTTACTCAGTGTTTCGAATCTATGAAATAAAATTTACAAGACTTTGTTCTAACAGAACACGACATAATCAAAAAACAAAATATTAAACCATCAATCAAACATTTATCTTGGATTTATAATGGGTATATATCATTTGGGTCAAACGACTGCAATTTATGTGGAAATGTGTCATTCTTGGAGTCGTAGCTTGGGAACTTATCTGTCATGAATCGAATACTCGGGTGAATTTTTAATCGATTGCTATTAATACTCGTTTCATGAGAAGCGTAGTATATGGGACTCCTACAGTAATTATTTGATTGCAAATTTTCGTACAGCTGTAGCAAATTTGTAGATTGCAAAAATATACGAAATATCCAAAACATAGTATTGTCTAGAATATTTAATAGATGAAGTAATAGTCAAAGTTTCATTTCTCAACTACATCCACGAAAATATGAATTTACATGTCTGCAGTGATTACGTAACAATTTCTTCCATGCTTTACAATTGCACCTGGTGAAAGAAAAATCCTTTAAACCCGACTTCTTAAATTCGTATCTTGAATAATGTTTATCCTCAAATTCCGTGTAATTTTTTACAATTACTCCTTAAATAATACTTACCAATTAATAATTCTGAATATGTATTTTGATCATATCGTTGCATTTGCAGATTGTAATCAGTATCATGACAATATGTATGATATTAATTAATATTAAAATATTAAAATAATTAATATTATCATATTAATGTGTTGTAATATTTCACTTTATACTTTAGTTGGAAATATTTAAACGAAATTAGGCAATGACATATGCTTTGAACACTTCCTGCTCATTTTTAATGATAAATCTTCGACTAGATGTTATGATTGAAACTTTTCAAGAGGCTTGAAAAGTTCGAAGAGCTGGCAAATTGCTGACGAAAAATTCCGTGGAAATTAACTTTATCCTTTATCCGGTGCTCCGCAACAGGCCACGAATCAAAAAGGCTACATAGGTGCGCGCGTTCTCTTACTGTCGATCATTACGTAACACGATGCAGGTTCCATTAGATTGGCAAACATTGTTCCATCCGCAACTGTGCAGCCAACCTCATTCGCGTTCCTTCGATACATCTTTTTTTTTATCTTCTTTGCTGCTACTTATACTATGGGACCGATCTGCACTGGAAGGACATTTTTGATAGTCCAGAATTTCCACATATCGACTATTCTGTATTATCACTCTATTATTACATACGTATATTCTTGCACAGACTGCGATTAATCTAACTTCTTTCCCATTTAATCTATCAGAAATATTTTTTTGCCTACTTTTATAGGCATGCATAGATAATACATATATCCTAGAATATGTGACATGAGGTTCGAACTAGATTCTTTCAAAAACGTACATAAAATGTATTTATTATAATTATTACAATTTCCCATGAAAATGTTGCTTCTTTATCACTTTTATTCATTTTACCCAGTGAAAATATCCTTTCTTTGTGTTCCTGTTATTGACTCATCTCTTATAAATAGTAACAACGAGCAGAGTATGAATCAACGGGAAAAATGTCGCGTATTTCGCAATTGCATTACACTGGGAATATCTACTTAGATATTTATGCAAGCTGCTCATTTATTTAATTCCATAAGAATAAACAGTTTTCGAAATCTTGTTGATCTCTAACGTTATTTAAACAAAGAAAATCAGTGTAGGAGAGACTAGAAAGGTATAGAATTATAAGGATAAAACTTGCTGGTCATAGCTTTATTTATGTACGGCAATGTCGAGACGCGAAATTGCGCCAAAAAAAAAAAAAAAAAGAAAGGAAACAGACGAAAAATGAAAAGTCAAAGTATCGAATTAGTCGTATCACAGAAAGAATTAGACATGTAGACATGATATTTATAGTTGTATCATTATTCTTAATATTTTCTGTGTTTCGTCTTATGCCTTCAAGAAAAATTTATTACACATTTAATAATAGATATACCTCATCTGTAACGTGAGATTATGCACATGTCTTGTGTTTCAATCTTCTTCCCTGCCCTAAAGTATCGTATCAGCATTCCTTAATGTCGTGACTTACATCAAAATAGCAGTCTTTTTCATCGTTATAGAAACATTCGTTCATTAAATATTGTTTTCATTGTTTGCACTCTTTTGGCAGGAACGTTGATTATTGAAAATTTATTAAAGCCACTAAATCGGTTGATATATATAAAAATTTAATTCTAAATAAAAAACTGACCTGTGATATATAGTAATACATTTTCTTATCCGATACGCATATTCTGCTTTTTGCTTATTTTCAATTTGCGTCAGTGGTTATATCTCACCACGGCCAGTCAACTTAATGAAGAATTGCAGAAGAAAATTAGATACATGAAAAGCGTAAATATAATTATAAATAATAAGTAGGTATATAATGAAACGTCCATGTGAAATATATACGTAAACAATTTATTATTTTGATTTAAATTAAACTAAACTGAAGCCTAACGCATTACTAAATTTATGCAGTGACTTAAAACATTTTTAAGTACAGTTTTAAGAAGATGTATATATATAGAGGGTGGTCTAAAAATCAGTCCTCACGATCTTTCAGGCTCTCCCGATAACAATGGGGCAAAAAGATGTTTCGAACAAAAGTTAATCAGCTTTCGGTCGACTACGAATTGCAATGTTAAGGACTTAAAGAAGATTTTGCTCTCATGAGAAGTCCAGAACTCTATTTTTGTAATGGAATAATATATCTTTTTATATACTATTATTCTTCAATTCCCTGCAAGAAAATATTAAGATATTTGGGTTGAAAAATGATTAGTTTACAAGATATTTTAGCTTTAATGTTGTAAAACTCATCGTATAAAAGTCAACGAAAGATAAAGTAGTACTTGTTTTCCTGCTCTTTTATACGACAAATTTTATGACATTAAAGCTAACATATTTTTAAAAATAATCATTTTTCAACTCAAGTACCTCAATGCCTTCCTGTAGAGAATTAAAAAATGCATCGAACGGAGTATAAAGAAATGCATTGTTCCATTTAAAAATATAAAGGTGACCTGATTTTTCATCGAAGTGAAATTTTTTTTGTAATTCATAATATTGCCATTTGTAGTAGATCGAAAGCTGATAAACATTTGTTCGAAACATTTTTTCTCGACTATCGCAAGTGTCCGAAGGATTGTGTAGATTTTTAGACCACCTTGTATATCAGCTTAGTAGCTCTGTGCTACACAACAGCGGTCTAAAATTTAAACTGTTTTTTTTCACTTTCAGGTTATTGACGAATTAATTTCGTCAACATTTTGTTTGCGAAACATTAATAATTGAGGTATTATTTTTCCTAGAAATCTGATCATTTGATGGCAAGATCAAAGAATCTCAGCATAATTCCTTAACCTTAACGTAAGCCTCTTTTAGTTTAACTTATATTTAATTTATATCTTCATAAGATATATAACATAGCATTATGTATATTCCATGTACGGATCTGCAAAAATAATGGAAAATGCATGATGAAACCTTTCCACTACAAGAAATTCCGTCCTGAAAAAGAGTTACACGTTTACCTAATAGGTGATGAATGTTTACTTAATAGGTGTTAATTGATATCGAGTAATAGAGAACACACGATGAAACTGGAGATTTAGTTAGGATAAGTTTTATTATTTTAGAAATTGTTAAAATAGTAGGCTGTATATTTTAGTATAAGATGTCATAGTCTAAATTCCTAAAGATAAGTGGTTAAAATGAGCAAATTTGCGAGATATGCCCGTAATGTACAGTGCCGTGGATAATTATAAACTCCATTCCATTTTTAGATTTTTCATGTTAAAACGAAAATTGAAGATACAACAAACAAACAATTTCTCCTCTCGAAGTCTGGGAAAAATGAAATTTTCTCTTAAAACTGTGTTTTTAGCTGAGAAGAAATATAAACTTAATGTTAATTTTGTTACGTCTTCGTTCGGTATTTAGTGGATTTTTGTTTATTTTTTATTATTTCTATTAATCTATTAAGTACTCTATCCTCTAACTTATTTAAAGTAACGCCTTGAATATCAGCCCACGCAGATTTTATTCTTTTTTTAAGTTCCACGATATTTTCTAGAGGTAGCTTGTCCTAGTCGTAAACTTCTCTCGCTGGAATTCTCCATAGGTTCTCGATCGTATTCAGATCAGAACTCAATACTGGCCATAGATAATAATTCTAGTCCGAAATCTTGAAACCAAATTTTTATAGCGGTGGCTGTATAAATAGGTGCATTGTTTCGTTGAAAAATTGTTTTTTCTTTTTCTATTTTAGTTACAAAAGGCAATAATTTGCCATGTACCATCTCCTACTATATCCTTTAGCGTTGAATTTTTCTTTTACAAGGACAATTTCACTTAACATATCTAGGCATGATTAGTGGTTTCCTAAAAATATTGAAGAGATAATGCAGAAAATATGTTTGAGTCTGTAATTACTCACGATGCTGTATGTATGTACATATATATCACGGGTATGTGCATTAGGTGGTTAATAAATATATGTAGCAGGCAGCTTTGGTGTTTTATCCTCCACAAGGATGATTCCAAGCGCACGGACAATCTTTGAAATTAATGTGTTCTTCTATGATCTTCTATTTACTCGTCTAACCATTGTTTCATTTACTTATGCGACGAGGTTGATATGTGTTACACATTAATTTTAAAGACAAGCATGTGACCGATAATTCAATCAGCTTATTCGTATACTTAAACTTTATCGTATTTTCATTCTTTGAACGCATGCCAACCGCAATACTAACAACTGGAAGAGTGGACTACTTCCGTTCTTGTCTAGGGTAAGTTACCACGAGTTTAATCAGCGTGATAAATCATGTTGCACATTATGTTTTCGAATTATACTCGTACGAGGGCACTGTTAATTATAAGTTCAAGATCACTCGTTTTACATTTATACTTATACGATGCACGAACAATCATAAATGTTACTTAATCGTGATCGTCGTGATAAGTCCTCAAGCGATTCGCGTTTAACTATGTAGTGAAATAATAAAATTGTTTCACAGCGTCATACTTGGGTAACGCAATTTTTTATTAATATCGGGGAATCTTTAAATACGGAATTCAACGGAATTAAAATATAGGTGTGTGATCTTTGCTATGAGATAAATAATAAACCATCACTAATATGTACGAATATGAAAGTTAGTTTTTCATGTAAAGAATTGAATACTTCAGATTTGCAAGGAGTTTTTTATTTTTCAAGTAGTTGCGGTGTAATAAATCTTGTTTGAATTTGAAGAATAAAATTCCAAATTATGTTTTATTTTGTCCGAAATGAGCAACAGGAGTTTCTTTATTTTTCGACATTTATATCGTTTATCGCTTAAATTCCTCGATTAGAGACATAACAAGGTACGCCAAAATTAGAACTAGACCTAGAATAGATTCCAGCTGTTAACCAGTGTAATCATTAGTGGAACGTCGGTTTCCTGTTTTTAATCGGTACCCTTACGCTTTACGATGTTCGTTATTTCTAATTTGTTTGTACACTTATACTCGATAGGACGACTGCAGAGGAGCAGCATCATTCACGTATTGTCATTTACCGTATATTGTAATGACATGGAGTAATTAGTTATTTACACGTACTTTTGTTATAATTTCACGGTACTACAGCATAACGTTTTTAAATCATGACTAGTGTGATTTATCGATGTCCTTGCAGCACGTTCCTAACGTCTATCGTACAATAGCGTATTTCGCTTCAGATCGGAGAGGCATGTTTTGGAAAGCATACGCGTACATCGAAACAATTTATAACGACACTGTTATACAGTTACTTTTCGTAGTTAGCGTACAGCTTGCTTCAAATTAAAGATTGAACGATTATGAGTTTACATTTAAACGATTATGAATTTACATTTAAATAATTCTGAATTCACATTGAAATGATTATGAATTTATATTGAAATGATTATAAATTCACATTGAGATAATTATGGATTTACATTTAAATGATTCGAATAATAACAATATAATGTTGGAACACTAAATAGAGGAGAAACATACTTGCAATTGTAATACCACGTGGCTGTCCAAAGTATCTGAACACTTATTGTTAGTTATAGACACACAAAGGTTTCTATGGATGTTGCAATACTCGTGTGAGCCTGAACTCTATAGTTCTAGGATTAAGTTAGTGTCTTGATTATTGATGACATTTTCCCTGACGCCTCGTGCAAACATCTTTTCACAAAGTTTGATATGTTAATTATATATAAAAAACATTTAGTAATTTTTTAGTTGTTCTAATGACAATACATACCTACTTTGTCGATAATGAATCGATTTAGGACGAAGGTAAAATTGTAATTTCTGAAAGATTTTTGTTCTTTGTGTTCCTACAAATGAAACTGTAAAAACTGAAATTAAAGGTCATTCGAATCGTAAAATTGAAATTAACGAGATATGTAATTTTACGTGAGCAAGAAACATTATTAAGCAACTATAGGAAATATCTTATTTATAATAATTGAGGACGACTAACGGTAAGTTAAATTGATGTCTTATTATTCCGTTCTAATTATCAAACAATCTCGAACTGTCCTTTATCGATTTCATTTTCGACGTCAGCGAAATCGCAAGACAAGAGCAGTATTTGACAACATTGGCAAATAATTGCAGGTGGTTCCGTGTGGCCTTCGAAAATTCTGGCACGTAAGACCGCAATTAAAGTTTTCTAAACCCGTAAACGCGAACCGAAAGATAATTGTCCCAGCGCCTAGATTAAAATCCTCGAACTAAATGATAACCTGCTGTTTCACCAAACTTCCGCATTACGCAATAACATAAAAACATTAACGTCTTAGCATTTTGGAATGGAGAAAAGATTTTCCAGTGTAACACGTTTTCGGGAGATTGCTCGATATTGACAAACAATCCCTGCTTATTTAATCCATTTATTTTATTCCCCGAGGCAAACTCTGCCTTGCCAAATTGTACTCGCATTATTTTAACCGAGTAAGATTTAATTGCTCCTATTTTTCGCGTATAAAAGACTGCGTTTGTGTATGATGTACGTTACAGAGTTTATATATGTATGACGAGTAAAGTAAAAAGTAAATTTTTCCTTGTTAAGAGATACATATCGATATCGATATGTATGTGAGACTTGTTCAACGGTAAACTAACAGAATTAATCGTGGATTGAAACAAATTGATCAATTGCAGGCACATACATTTACTTCATAGATTCATATGAATTTATAGAAACAGTTGATAATAATTGATCGAGGATCGATATCTCGGCGCTTAAAGAAACGCCTTATGTGTATATATACTAATGCAGATTAAACACTGCAATTTACTGCTTTTCCCATCACGCATTCACTTCGAGAGTTTGTTAGTGTCATCTAACGGAAACTAAATGACCATGGCCTACCAATTGACAATTGCTGTGGCAAATTACTCGACGAACGTTCATTTTCTTAAGAATTAACACGTGCTTCTTACTTTTCATTCGAACAAACTATCTTGAGTGATTATAATTATCGCCCAGTTTTATTATTTATTCTATCTATGTTATTTAATTCCAACAGGGATAATTAATATAATTAGTAAGTCTTATTAAATAATTAACACTCTTTGTTAATCTTTAAATGCATTTTTTGTCTTTATCAAAATTAATCTATTTTCATTATAGCAATTCAAAATGATTTGCACATTTACTATAGTTATCTTGTATGTATAGATATAGGACCCGATAATGTTTAATCTTGTCGCTCTACATTCATTGTATGTTAAAAAGTTTAAATAGTTTTAGTAATCGTCTGTTATTCTGAATGTGACAATAAATGAAAAATGATTATATTACACATTGCAAGGATATTACCATAGATCTTTTATAATCGCTAGAACTAAACTATCAGTGTAGTTGAATTCTTTTCTTCTTAAACGAAAAATGGTTGTTTCTTTTACGATCATTGATAGTTATTATGTTACTTTTATATTTTTGTAGTCTTATATTTCCATCTCTTAAGAGTTGCAAACATTATAGACATATGCAGAGTTATGTTCCGATTATTTTGCTAATGAATTCATTGAATACAGCGAGAATGTAGTTAATAACATTGATTTATAAAAAAGAAATATTTAGCTACATATTTTCCATAGAATAAACTATTGTACAATTCATACCATATTAATAGTTGAAAAAATTACAGTGCTATGTAAATTTTAATCTTTCAAAGAGTACAATCAGCACATATGTATACATGTATATAATTTTGAGTGAATTTTTTAAATATGTCTTTTCTAATATCGTCATTTAATATTTATTGTATTAATTAGAATTTTCTTCTAACTTAAGTAAATATATGACTATGGTAATATTGGTGTTTAATAAATGCATTTTTAACGATAATCATTATCTATAAAGTTTTAAATTGACATTTCGAAGAAGTCGAGTGTATTGGGAAACACTTTTTAAATTAAATTTCTGCTAGTTTTTATTTCCTTAGTTCATCAAGGATACCAATACTCCGTTAATGTAATATTTCATTTGCAATCTTGGTTCAGTCAATTTGCATTATTAAATTCGCTTCGTAAAATTGTAGTTATGAAAGGGATTCTATGAATTTGTTCGATGCTTCTTCACTGCATTTCTCTCTCCATCTAGATATCTACAATTTTATCAAATTAGTTGAAATTGAACTATTTACAGTACCACGATGAACTATATTTCTTAAATCGTGGACATTTTCTTCTTTTCATTTAGTTTTTTGTTTAATTAGTAGAGTTTTTCATTTACTGCTGATTTTAGAGTATCTAATATTTTCGTACATTTCTGATGTTCCAATAATTTGATATGTATGTTTTTTATATGAGCATTGTATTACTATATCTTTATATTTTTTAATAAAGTTACACAACATTTACATTACATTTTCCTTACTTTGTTCTTACTAAATTAACAATACACACGCGACTCTCACAGAGAAAGGAATATCTTTTAAATACATATATGTGTTATAAAATCAGTATTAAATATTTTAATAAATAGTTTCTAGATATAACACTGCCATAACTCTATGATCATATGTTTCAAGAGCAACGGTAAAGCTGTGCAGAAGTAAATGATGTGTCACAATATTATAAGGAAATGCATTTAATGATTAACTACGGTAGACGTAATTATTGGGTTGGTGGAAAATAAATAGTTAATCGGTATCCGCGTCTATAATCGTTGTTCCATTTATACTTTCATAAAGAGATATTCATAATAACGTTGCAACTTGCGTGTTTTTCCTATTAATTTATAAACTAATCGCAGTATAAAGAAATTTTTGGATTATCGAATTATATAGAAATCTCGATTATTGTAACATAGTTGTAACAACACTACTTTCATAACAAAATTTTTCCAAGACGTTTCGAAAAATTCTCAAAGCGTTTGAAAATGTAGCAACATGTAGAAACGAATAAAAACTTGCAAAATTACATTTATATTTCAATTCGATTGAATTTTCCATAGTCATACCTCGTAAGGAAAGGCTTAATTCGTTTCTTTTTTACCAACCTAATGAAATCAGGAATGAAAAGAAATTTTCTATTCAGTTATTAGTCGATAAAGTAAATGACTAATGGCAAAGATAAAAGTATAACAGTTGGTATAATTTCGTTAAACACTTATAGCATTATAGTAGTGCACCATACAATAATAAGAAATCGTTAATTAATATATATAACGAAATACAATTTCCTCTATATTAACTCCAATATTCGTGTTTTCTATTTTTATATTTTACCGTTATTTCCAATTTCACTACTTACTTCTTATTAGCACAGCAGGGATCATCACTGATTTAAAGAATTAACAACATGTTATCATCGATAATTCCTCTCAAAGTTTGCTGCACGCTTATACCTGCAATTTCCACGCACTTCTCAATGTCCATCATGTTGTTTCTTTTTCTTCCTCCTGTTGTTTGCCAGTTCCTTGTTCCTATCCGTGAAATTATGCAACCGCGCAGCAATATTAATAATAATAATAAAAAAGTCGCGTTACACCGGCATTGAACTGCGACGTCAGCCGCGGTCAAGGCGACCGTGTCTACAGATTCGATTGACACTTCCGTATATGAACTGTCTAACATAAGCCCCAAGCGGATGCGGTTCCGCATTCCCAACGCTCGAGCGTGTGCTACGAGCAGTTACGAGAGTCGAGCATGACTGGAGACCGTGTCTGTTTACTCGCTTTACTGCCAACTCCTATAATTATTCCTCATTTACATACTAATGCGAGTTTCGAAATAGAACAATTTTAATGTTTCGATCAGATCAAAATTAACGATCGACTGGTAAAGTGCATTCTATTCTATTCGAACGAAACTATGTACGGAATATAATATGTGCAATAATAAATACAATACGTGTACTAGATATTGTTTCCAGTAATATAATAATTCTTAAAGATTTCAATAATTTCCTAATTATTTGTCAGGTTTACTCAAATTTTCATAGATACGCAACATTCATGAATTTTTATTCTCTTTTTTTAAATCTTTAAAATTGTTTAAATCCAAAAATACAGCTTCAATTTATTTGGTTTTTGAAATTCAAAGAAGCAATTTGTTACATTTTGCGTTAAAAGTAGACATACAAGTGGATGATTCCACTATTTGACAGATCTTTTAATGGAAACGTAGAGTAATAAATATATCTTTTATATCAAATGTATCCGAAAAAAAGTAAAATATGTCTGTATAAAAATGAAAAAGAAAAGATATACTAACAATGTATCTGTAGAATATAAATATCTAAAGGATTTATAGATATCACAGATATAATTGTACATTATCGCATCTATAACGGATCTTAAAGTTTGCGACAATGTTTTACTTTTATAAAATGTTTGTATAGTCGTCGTAAAATTTGTTTGTAAAAATTATGGACGTCAAATAACAATATTGAATGAGAATCGTTTTAATATTCTAACATCATTGTATCTGTTTATTGGATTTTTTAATTTTAATTAAAACGTGCAACCCTTTTTATAAGTTGTAGATACAATGAATTTAATGTTGATATTAAAATGTACATTATTAAAAATTAATATAATATCAATATTGGTATAGATTTACCTGTTCCATTACTTCCTTTAATTGTAGCTAACTGTTTCCGCTTTACTAGTTAAATAACGAGTGTCTTCGTGCTTATTGATTATTGACAGATAAATCCCACTTCAAAGTGAATTTGTCAAGTATTACAATAATTATTTTAATCAAACTTGATTTTCATCGGCAATACAAAGATGTGGATAATATTACTTAACGATTTTAAACGACATTCATTAACAACGCTTTTAACAGGATTTTCAATTTGTGCTTAAGTTTTTCATTTTAAATACAATTATTCATTTCCTTTTCTTTTCTTCTTTCGCATTTTAGTTGATATTGAAGTACATAATTATAATAAGTCTGCAATATTTTGTATTATGAGCTACAAATATTCAAATATATTATTTAACAGCATCAGTTACTTATTCTTATAATTAAAAGTCGTTGTATTTTGTTTGTTTTCTTTTTAAATCATTCCTTCAATTTAAAGTAAAAGCGTTTCTTTTATTTTATTCAGACATGCTATTGTGTTTCATAAACGTTCCACCTACATGTAATCGAATGGTACTCATTGTAAGAAATGCACATATGTAGCATAAATTGTAACGGAGACACTTTGATTAAATGACATTTGTTACCTTGAAAGTCTGTGAGGAATCTTGTCAAAGTTAAAGGTATTTATTCTGACGTATCTTTTGTAAATTTGTTACTTATACTTTCACTTGTTTTTAATAACGCAAATATTCAGTAAGAATGTATTTTTAAAATAATTACGATGTTCGCACATTAATTAATCACATTAATCAAAATAATGGGCCCTAGTTAAAATATAAATAAACATAGTACTTATACAGAGCCTAACATACTTAGAACCAGAAAATGTAACGAATCGAACAATAAGGATAACGAATTCTATGATTAGTTAAGGACGAATAACTGAAATTCACGCGAACAATGTTGTACATTTTCTAGTTTTTGTTAATATTTAATGTCAGTTGGCAGTTCGAGAAGCATATGTGTTACTCATTGCCTTTCATTGTACAATTCTTATTTTTCTTTTACATGTTGAGATAAGATATTCACATACCTATCCGGCTACAGATAATCGTGTCAATCAAAGCGCCAACGTTATGACCATTCTCCATTAATGAAATATCTCCAACAATCTCTATCGCGTTTGTATTTTTGAACGAGTAATAAAAAAGAAATTTCACATATATCACATATGTTCTTCATACAAGGTCGTTAAATTAACAAGAGAATACACATATGTATTTCGGATAAGAGTTACCTATTTCGGACCATAATAAATAAATATATCGATCTCAAAAGTGAGAGTATTATTTTGTCACAAGTCACACTGCTTACCTGTAATACGATAAAAAGATAGTATCAACCACTTGCCGTGCTATTACGTTACCGTTTTCGTCATCTATTATAATTATGTCATAAGTAGACTATGGATATTTATGTAAACACATATCTTCGTAAATATAATAAAAGGGAAGGACCTGGGTAAACATTTATTCCATTCCAAAGTAACGTCGTTTCTTATGTTTCATTTTGAATTACCAATATAAAAGAAAATTGTAACTGTTAACGAATTTAAATATGTGCTTTTCGATTGGAAGGAATTCTATTTCGTCGGGTCAATGCAAAATAAATAAATTTAACTTTGAGACAGCTACTAAATATTTTGTGTCGATATCATAAAATTTTCCCAAAGAGCAATTAAAAAATGTCAGACGTAGTTCGAGAAAACAGTAGATATATGTACATTATTTATTAATGAATATAATAAAATTTGTACATTTTTAAAAATGTTTATTATATATAAACACGATATTACTTATAGAATGACCTTATATTATTTTATGGATTTTTACATCTTATGTATTGTATTTTCTACACATTTTTGTATCTTTAAGTCTCCCATAAAAGCATAAAAATCCGTATTCTAATCATAGGATTTTTATCATCCTTTATGTCGCATGCAACGTCACTATATTCCATCATGTATACCGATGAGAAACACACTGCATTGCACGTTTTCAAACGATGGGGTGATTTCAGTTTGTTATTTATTTATCGAATTTTCAACGTTTATGTTTCTTGTGGAAATTTTTTCTTATATTTGTTCCTAATTGATTCACGAACGTTTTAGGTGATGAACCAGGAAGTCAAGAAAGAGACTCCCCTGCAATTCAAATTTCGCGCCAAGTTTTATCCCGAAGACGTTGCCGAGGAATTGATTCAAGATATCACGTTGCGTCTCTTTTATCTTCAGGTATGGCTGAACGTAGTATTCGTCAAAAGAAGTAAAAAAATGCTTAATTAATATAGAACTTAAACCGAATTTTATACAAGTAAATATACAAAATGTGCTTTGTATGTATGTGCGTACTTATGTATGTCGCATGTATACATAGGAGTGTGTGTGTATGTACTACTTTCAAGTTTCAGTTATAGAGGGCAAACTGTTCGGTATTATAAGTAGAATTGTATTACAATGTAACAAGGTTGAGTACATAAGTGCATATTATCATTCAGATAATCTACGAAATAGATCAAAGCGAACGCAATCGTATCATATAATGCATTATACATGGGCACATTCAGCATAGTTCTATGTAAATCTGATTAGTTACCATACTTTTTTGTTGACTAAAATTTATCACTATCACTATCATTATCATGAATTCTCACTGCTTACGCTTATTACCATCATATATGTTTTAAATCGGACTAAAGATTGCAATGAAAATGAGATTTTTAATTGTACTAAACATCGATCTGATACAAAGATAGAATTTTTCAAACAAGAAAAATATTGAAAATTCCATCTTCCAACAATGATGATATATAAATAATAGATCTTAATCGACAAAATAATCAGAAAATTGGTCAGAGTTTAGAAAAACTATACTGAATACTATATGATCATAATATGAATATGATATATTTGCATTATTTATACATGACAACATGACAATTGAAATTGAAAAGTTGAACCTAATATATGTATTATTATATTGTGTGGACTACATTTAGGTGAAGAACGCTATTCTGACGGATGAAATCTACTGTCCTCCAGAAACATCTGTATTGTTAGCGTCTTACGCAGTCCAAGCGAAACATGGAGATTTTCAAAAAGGTACACATACTGCTGGCTTTTTAATAAATGACCGCTTGTTACCGCAACGAGTCGTGGATCAACATAAAATGAGCAAGGAGGAATGGGAAAGTTCCATCACTAATTGGTGGCAAGAACATCGTGGCATGTTACGTGAAGATGCTATGATGGAATACCTAAAAATCGCGCAGGTAATGATTTAATAGTTTCTTCTTATTAATTTAATATTTGATCAATATATTGGATATATGCGTTTCTTTGTTGCATAGGATTTGGAGATGTACGGAGTGAATTACTTCGAAATTCGTAATAAAAAAGGTACAGACCTGTGGCTCGGTGTTGATGCTTTGGGTTTGAACATCTACGAAAAAGATGACAAATTGACACCAAAAATTGGTTTTCCATGGTCTGAGATAAGAAATATCTCATTTAACGAGAAGAAATTTATAATTAAACCAATTGATAAGAAGGCACCCGATTTCGTCTTTTTTGCAACTAGGGTTAAGATCAATAAACGAATTTTAGCACTGTGTATGGGCAATCACGAACTCTACATGCGTAGACGTAAACCAGATACAATTGATGTACAGCAAATGAAGGTATGTTTCTGTGCAAGTATTCGCTTATAATGCATTTTTAATGCTTATTTTCTTTGCTATTTCTGAATCTTAAAATTAATCATCTCATAGATAATGAATTGGATTTATAATCACAAAATAAACATTTATAATTTAAAGGCGCAAGCAAGGGAAGAGAAAATTGCAAAACAACAACAGAGAGAAAAGTTACAGTTAGAAATAGCTGCAAGAGAACGTGCTGAGAGAAAACAACAAGAATATGAAGAACGACTTCGAAATATGGCAGAAGAAATGGACAGGCGGCAAGCTGAATTAAACGAAGCTCAAGAAATGATCCGACGTTTAGAAGAACATCTTAGACAGTTACAAGCTGCGAAGGAGGAATTAGAGGATCGTCAGAAAGTACGTAGTTTAGTATAAAATATAATTTTCCTACAATATATGTCTCTATGTGTTTTATTTCTATACGAAGGAACTTACGGCTATGATGGAAAAACTTGAACTTTCACATGAGATGGAAGCAGCTGAGCGTGCTAAACTTGAGCAAGAAATACGAGCTAAGCAAGAAGAAATACAACGTATACAATCTGAGGTAGTGGCAAAGGATGCCGAAGCAAGGAGGCTAGAAGAAGTATTTGAAGCTGCTAAGTATGTAATTTTTGTTATGCAACTGTTCGCTATTTAAAATATGAGAAAAAAGTCAACTCTATTCTATTCTACACCTGTATCTATAGATTAAGGCAGGAAGAAGCCGATCGAGCATATCAAGCTAGTACAACACCGCATCATCATCATGTTGAAGAAAATGAAGAAGGTGAAGAGGAAGGAGAAGACGAAGTTTCTCATGGTGATGTTACTAAAGATCTTGCAACCGATGAATCGATAATTGATCCTGTTGAGGAGCGACGTACCTTGGCAGAAAGAAACGAACGCCTTCATGATCAACTTAAGGTAGTGATCTTTGCTTGTATATAAATTTTTTGCACCCCGAGTAATTTTTGTGGACGTATTTGAATAATGATTATATATTTCAGGCATTGAAACAAGATCTTGCACAGTCACGCGACGAGTCAAAAGAAACTGTTATGGATAAAATCCATAGGGAAAACGTCAAACAAGGTCGCGATAAATACAAAACGCTTCGTGAAATTCGTAAAGGCAATACTAAACGTCGTGTTGATCAATTTGAGAACATGTAAATTATATATGCATTTGCCTATTTGCCTGCCCATTTCACCCTGCCTTTGAATTCTCTTTCAATATCGTGTACACATGGAACACTCAGTAATCACGTCTTTTACATATGTATATGAGAAGCGTACACAGGTTCTCTGATTGATCTATACAAAGACAATTTGTAAAACTTCAAATATATTATTTTATAATATTTTTTTGGAGATGTTTCGAGGTATAAGTCGCTCCCAATTTCTAGCGATCTAAAGTTTATGATATGTATTACTATTTTTCAAAGTCGATTCTATACTCTGAGTACAGTTAATTCAAGACAAAAGAAAATAAAAAGCTCACAATTGGCAAGGAACGCGACGAGCGACCAACTTGCGCCGTCTTCCATGTATGCTTCCACGTTGATCACTGTTAAACAGTTTTTCGTAAAGCAAAATGTTTATATATTTTTTCATAATAAGTATAGATTTTCTTGCTGTTTTAGCTATAAAATATTTAACGTTAATTCATACTAACTTTGTTATTTTAGCTATATTATTAGCTAATGTTGTTTTTTTCTAACGATATCTCTTTTTGCTAAAATATCAAGAAAATGTGTTACATAATTTGTGAATACTGTTTTATTTTTTGTCCAAGCATTATACACAAGATTTTGAGTGCCGGCGCATCAGTATTTTTTTTCCAAGTATTACTGTCGGTCACTAAGCGTAACGCCACATATGTGACTTCTTTTCACTGATTACTTTCTTGTCGCGGTTCTTATCATGTTGCGTCTTATCCGTCCTTGATAAGGATTTGCCCGAGAAATACATTGTATTTTTATTTGCGTCATCACTTATTTTTGCTGATGAATTAAGATTACTTTTGTCAATAGCGGTCGCTATACACTGATGTATACATATCGGTTCCAGTTTTATTCCGATGTATCATTTTGCTATTTACAGTAACAAATATAATCCGAGTAGATGAATTAATATTTTAAAACAGTGTGGAAGAGTCACCATTATTTTTTAGTGAGTTATAAGTAATCTCTAAATATTAACCTGAAATAGGTTTGTAATGTACAAGCGACCGCTTAATTTATGTAACACGAAATCAACGATATCCGTCTTCATAATAAATATAGACATGTAAGCACGTCATATAAACTTTGCAAAATTATACATACTATTTTAGTACGAACGAATTTCAACTACTGTTTAGTAATTTTATATTGAACACACTCGTGGCCTTTATTGATATACGTATATTGAAATACTAGATATTAATAATCAGTAATATAATATATACAAATGTAGGAATATCGCGCGTCTCTTTGTATTGCATACCTTCAACATAAGGTAATTGCGCGGTTCCTATAAAAAGGATAGTTATCAAGATTCTTGAAGAGTATGAAAGAGTGAATGTGAGCGAGAGTGTTATAATAAAAAATAATACGTACGAAAGGTTGGATGATAGGAGAACTATAACATGTGGCTGTCTGGTACACCACATAGAAATTTTAAAACAATTCTCTTTTTAAAGAAAATTATATGGTGCGACAATGAAATTTAATTAAACTGTAATGAGGGAAAATATAGCCTATAAATGCTGCCAATTTTTTGACGGAATGCAAACAAAGAGCGATGTTGTGAAGTGACACACTTTTTGCAATAACGAAGTAGGAAATATGATGGGAAAGTTTAAAAACTGATCATTGTATCGGAATTCATACTTTTGTGCATTATCATCATTACATGTTGCAGTAAACACGAAAGGAAAAGTACAGGAAAAATAACAATAGATATTTTTTGATAATATTTAATACTACAATTTACAAATTAGTAGTGTTATATTATTATTATTATTATTATTATTATTATTGTATTATTATATTATATTATAAATATTATTAATATTTACAATCTAGTAGCGTTATTATTATTGAAACAATATTAAATGAAAATTGAAGCAAAGGATTTTATAGTCGTCGTGTATTTGTACTCTCAAAACAAGTCGAATGTACATGGCAATAACTACATACATATTTTGTACAATGTAACGCTCTAAAGTTCAAAGACAGACAAATACCATTTTCATAATAACTCGTCTGGATATTTTTGTCGTTAAACGTTTGGTGAGAAAGCTACTCTTGAAACATTCCAAAAAACATTTGTAAAATGATTTTATTTACGTTGGGGTTTTTCGTTTTCTTGAAAGATTTATAAAACTATTGGATTGCAAAACAAAAATTTTTTCTATATACATACATATGTCTGTAATGTACTTAAATACAACTATGTATATTTAAAACTACAGTATTTTGTTTATTGTGTTTATTGACATGAAAAGTCCACGAATAACCCTAACGTGGATCATTAAATGATTTTCATATTCCTTATGAAGGTAATGAATATAAAATCATCTTTAATGTATTTCCGCATATTATTACTTAATATGTAAATTGCTATATCAAATATTTGAACTGACATAAAATTTAATGACATCATTTTACATATGTAAATATTATTATATACTTTCATGAGGTTATGGAAAATTAATTTAACGATGCATATCATGTTAAAATTTTCATGGTGTTATAATTTTTCTTTTCGACATGTCCAAGCGAGTAAAAACATGGTAGAAGAATATGCATTTCTAGTTATTAACAAATTTTTATAACTTCCAATGCTTGATGGTATTTCCTAAATTTTCAACAATGTTCAAAATGCGAATGTTCCATTTTTATATTGAGAAAAAATCTTTGTAACAGTATTATTGATTAATTGAAACAATATACATAAAACATATAAGATATGACCACAAGGACGCATAGACATTGTATTTTATTTGGAAAAATATTTGTTGGTGTGAGGATATATGAAAATCACTTGTACTTTGCTGAAAAAGTTAAATATTGTTTAAATAAAAGAATCATATCATACATGTTAGATATATTCTGACCCTATTTCATTCTTTTTTAATTTAACTGATCTTAATTACTTTTAGACACATAAAACATTGGATAATACTTATTTGAATCCGATCTCTTTCTGTATTTCGGAGTAAATAAAAATACTTTTTTATAACTTCGAATTGCCATAAGTTACATTATTTTAATATAATTTTTTTCTTATTACTGTAGAAATAAGATATTGAGAGTATTATTATCCTAAGGATGTAAAAGGAGAGACGTGTTAAATGTTCTAAAAGCTATTTATACTTATTTATTTATTTCTATACTACCCATATATTTACATGTTTGTCAACTTAATATCATTCACATTGATCCGCTTTTCCTATTCGGTTGCTCGTCCTCGCCACTTCCCGTTCTTTCAAATCGATCTTTTGTCCTAATCTCTGTTCCGTATATCCTCGACCTTTCTTTTTCTTTTTTTTTTACGTGGAGAAATCCTCATGGACACCC